GTTAAACGGTAATTTGTTTTTTATCTTTACTACTCCTTTTTCTCACGCAACTGCAATCGAAAATAAGAACAAAGTTTCCTTCCTTATGTAGGAGAAAACTGCTCTATTATTTATACCCACTAACGCCCACTAGTAAAAATGTGCGTCCTTTATATGCATGAAATATGTATGCATGTATATCCTTCGCCACAGAACCACACCACCGTATGACGCGCATCTAAAAATAACCAAATACTGAAGAGAAAGAAAACTAAAATTAATTCAATACACACCCACAAAAAAGGAGGTAAATAAATAAATAAGTGGAACACAAAAGCGGTTATAGGCAAGTAAGCGCAAGGAAGAGAAAGAAAATTCAATTGAAAATGTATACTCGTAACTAAGTAAGTTGGCTAAAAATAGCCAATCCTCAGACCAAAGCAGAATGTAATCAGTGCAACAGACACCTACATACTTTCATACATATGCATACTAAATATATATGCACATATACATGAGGGTGTACGTATGAACGTAAATTATCTGCTTATGCCTCAACGGGAAGGGGGATATAAAATGATTTTATATATTTTGCAAAAATTTAATTTAGCAAAAGGTGTGAATGTGGGAGCAACTGCCAATGATATTAAACAAAACAAGGCACGTATACAATTAGTAATGTTCTAAATATATATTTATAAGAATTAAAAGTGAAAATAATAGAAGAGCAAACAAAAAACTACTTCAGAGAAAATATGTTTTTGAGTTGGCGAAATCTTATGTGGCAATTATGGCCACTGTCTTTCAACTCATCACAGTCTTTCGAAAAACAGAAGTCTTTTGTAAGCTAATTGTTAGTTCTGGCAACTACATAGTATCTTCAAAGCTCTTTTCTGTCTTACGAAAGACTAATTAAAAAATCTGTTAAAGAGGAGGTCCAACGTTATTTTGCTGGTCTTTAAGCAATAAATTTAAAAAAAAATTAAATTAAATTTAAAAATAAATATATTTTTTTTTATTAATGACAACTGAAAATGAAAAAATATACAAAATTAAATTAAAAAAGAAAACATTTTAAAAATAAATTTCTGGAAATTAAATGACATTAAAAACATATTTTTCTTTTTCGAACAATAAAATCTACAAATTAAATTGAAGAAAAAAAAAATTTAATTAAACTAAACCAAAAAATAAAAAACGTCTAAAAATTAAAGGAAATTAAAAAAAAATATTTTTTTTAACAATTAAATCTAAAAATTATAAGCAAATTAAGTCGAAGAAATATATTTTTTTTTGAAATAAAATCTTAAAATTAGAAAAAAATTTTATCAAAAAAGAAAAACCAAATCTTAAAAAAAGACAAACAAAACTAAAGGAATCAAAAAAATGTATATGTATATACAGTGGCGGATTTATCGTACAGGCAACATAGGCTGAAGCCTAGGGCGGCAGAATTAAGGGGCGGCAAAATTTAAGACAGCTAAATTAAAAGAAAAAAATTTATTTGGATTCAGCTGCACTTGAAATTGTGTTTGTGTCTGTAAAATATTATTAATGATTCATCTCATTCAATACAATTCAAAATTAGAATTACGCTGCGAATTTTTCCTTAGTATAGCAGTCGTTGAAATTTCCATTTAACTTTCATTCACGCGGCTTAGAAACCTGACGGCGCGCCTGCGCGTGACGCAAAGAAACAGCCGACACGCTGCCCCGAGAACGAGAATCATCTAAAAGGTTACCACACTTGACAACACTGCCGAAAAACGAGCGTGCATTTTCGAGAAAATTCTTGATTCCAAGCCCACCAGTTTTTCATAAGTGTATCATAACGTGAATAATCTGAAGGTCAGCTTCGCGTGAAAAACTATCTCAGATCTTCATTGAGCGAAAACAAACTGAATGCTCTTGCGTTGCTGACTATAGAATCAGATTAGTTTCTATCTATCGATTGTGAAGATATTATCCGCGAATTCGCAGCTGAAAAATCAAGACGTAAAGAACTGTGAAAAAGAAGTGTTTGAAAGAGGGTTTTTGTTGAATACCTTATCCATGCTGATGTCGAATTTGTTAATTCCGTTATGTATTT